CATGGGTTCAAAGGGTGCCCGGAACGGAAACATTAGAAATGCAACGAATTGCAAGGTGAGAAAAAGGGTGCCCAGAATCCGCGATATTCATGTTAAAATAAAATGGCGTCACGATTTATTGAAAGTGGTATAGTTGGTGGTATAAGTGTTCAAAACCATTTGAACTTCATACTGTTCGTCTTCTTTTTGACATGCTCTCTTTCCATCGTCCTTAGCTTTTGTTTGTTGTGAGCTGTTTTGGCTTTCTCCTGTACCTCTGGGGGATGCCAAGTGATGGTTTTGAGAGGCTGGTGATGGCTGTGAGCGAGACTTTGCCGATCGGCGTCGTCCTCGCTGTAGCGATGAAAATACTAGTTACTGCGCACCTGGCAGATATCACAACACGTCGAAGCGTCCAGGAGCAAAGGAATCTTGGGTTTTCACTGGAATCTAGTTCCTCCAGCATCGTGTAGCCCACCGTCGGTGAATGGCGGTCCAGAAAGGTCGAACCTGGTCTTCTGCAGCATCTCGCAGTCCTGCGAGGCACACCGTGTACGCCTGTCATGTATTGTGCAAATAAAACTCATGCAGTAGTGGACTCTACAGTGATGAGTCTCAGCCTGTATGCTGCAAAAGACACAGGAAATGTGACTGGTGCCTGTACACGCAGTGACTGGAGGCCAACACCCCAGTCTTCTCCTGCAGGATCTGTTTGACATTGACATTATGCAGTAGGTCGGCATTGACCTGGTTTGGCAGCTATCGTAATAGTATGTGCCTGGTTGGATGTAGCAGGTTGGTGTTTGCTCGTCGTCCAGTCCGGAATTTTCTTGTAACTCACGGTGGAGTACGCGCAGGGTTTGTGATCATCCCTGTTCACTTCAATATTATCAAACACAACGTTCCCTTTGTCACTCATCTTATCCTGAGTACTGAATTTGCTGACAATATTGCACCACACTTGTCACAACCTACCGCCACTGCTGGCGGTGGCGACTGGTTCGTCAATGGCGGTGACCAGGCTGACTGACTAGCTTCGAGACAGCGGCCTCCTTGTCAACCCCGCGGCAGCCTAAAGGTTGATTTTATCGATCCAGCCTCAGCGCCATGTTGACGATGCCCTAGTGACTGTGTGTCATGGATTGCCTTGCCATCAGCAGTCATTGCCGTCCACCTTGGTGCAGCCCTCAACAACTGGCTCAGCCCATGGGAGTCTCAAGTGGACAAAGTTGTTGCCAAAGTAGCTCAGAGGATTGGTGCATCGTGGTGTAGGTGAGCACATAACTAGAACTTCCCAGGGCCTATTTGTCCAGGCTACGATACTATGTGACATGCTGTACTGCACATTCTTTTCAGCACTGCAAGGCCGGCAGGTGGACCGACTGCAGGGGCCGCGCACATGCAGGCCGCCTGTTGCCAGTGCAGCATTCTGGAACGTTCCTTCCTTCTGAGATCCGTGGAATAATAACTTTCTTTGCTTCAAAGCAAGTTGCTTACCTTTCTGTTGTGCTCCTAGTGTCCTTACAACAATAACCTACAGCAATGTTTTATTTTCCTTTCCATTCCCCAACCAATGAATACTACAATGTCGATTCTATTTCTGAATACTTTAGTGTGTGCCTGCGCACGCACGTGTGTTTGTGTGTGTGTGTATACCTCACTCGCCACTCGAAGTTCTGTTCCCCATCACTGGAACACTGCCTGTTCTTTCAGGACCTGCGGATGGGCATTCAATGATTGTATTGTGTGTGTGTGTTGTTTCATTCAGAATCAGATCCGCTATCGTTGCTATAAGAGAAAATCTGTGGGTTCACATCCAGTGCATTTGTAGATTTGCGTGCTTTTCTCGCCACGGGCGCATACATGGGACATTGTGTGTGTGTGTGTGTGTGTGTGTGTGTGTGTGCGTGCGTCTGTGTGTATGGGGATATTGTCTGTATCGGCTTTTGGTACTGATGTTCAGGTCTGTGCTTGAATGTGTGAACATGAAATTGTTCGGTTCTGTGCATGCTATTGCTATGTTGTACTTCAAGTATATTATTGTATGTATGTGTGCATTTCCATGAACAGTGTAGATGAGCGTGGAGAGTGCATTCATCCCTCATCAACCACTTCCCCTTGGGCTTACGAGAGTTTTTTCTGCGTACCTCTCATTTTTGTTTGTTTCTCTCTGATACTGTATTGATGCCGGTACCTGTACCTCGATGTGCTCCTCTATCTACAGTCGCCTTTAACCTTCGGTCAAGTTAACGTTTATTGTGCTCTATTTATCGTGCGAATCAAAATAAACAATAATAACACAAGTCGTGCTAGAGTGACGACATGTGCGTTTAGTAGGGTTGATGCGATGGGACGTTATAATTAGGTGGAACAGAACACACATTGGGCAAATTGATTGGGCATCATTGATTGTGCTCAGTCTAAACAGTGAACATAATAATTATCTCCAGTGACAGATTGTAGCGGCTAGCCTCCAATAGGTAGCTGGCACTAGTCGCTACTGCTTGTTTGACAGGTGCCGCCAGAACCCCTGTTGTGTCATGCTATAGATGCACATGCCCTATTCTGGGGCATACTGAGGTACTTTGATTTTGTTGACTGCATGTAGACAGCATCCAATAGTAGTACTCGTAGACCTTGGCTCTTTGTAGGTCAACCACCATCGCATGGATCGATCAGTGACTATGCACTTGGAGGTTGGAATAGCTCGCGCTGAACAGATCTTGCCATGGCCCAGGGAGTGAACTCGCTTACTTGACTATCCCGGTTTTAGTTAACCAGCATGAGTGGTGCAATTTGTCCATACCATGTTGCGAGCTCACAGTTGTTTGGGCAGGTTTTGAGCTGCACCACGAAACAAAGCGAAACTTAACGGCGTGACTGTAGAGCAAGGAAGCGGCGAGACGGCACTTCCAGGACGAGACAGGCAGTAGAGATAAGTTCACAGCACGAGCAACCTCTCAAACCCTGCCGGTACTCCACAGTTACAAGAAAATGTCGGACTGGACGACGCGCCAATGCAAACCTGCTACATCCACCCAGGCAGATAGCTGCCAAACCAGGCCAATGTCGACCCACTGCATACCGGTATGTCAATGTCAAACAGATCCTGCAGGAGAAGACTGGGATGATATTGGCGTCCAGGGTACGGACACCAGTCACATTTCCTGCGTCTTTTGCAGCATACAGGATAGACTGATCACTATAAAGTCCACTACTTCGTGATTTTTATTTGTAGAATACATGACAGGCGTATTCAGTGTGCCTCGCAGGACTGCGAGATGCTGCAGAAGACCAGGCTCGACCTTTCTGGACCGCCATTCACCGACGGTGGGCTACACGATGCTGGAGGAACTAGATTCCAGTGAAAACCCAAGATTCCTTTGCTCCTGGACGCTCCGACGTGTTGTGATATCTGCCAGGTGCGCAGTAACTAGTATTTTCATCGCTATAGCGAGGACGACGCCGATCGGCAAACTCTCGCTCACAGCCATCACCAGCCTCTCAAAACCATCACTTGGCATCCCCCAGAGGTATAGGAGAAAGCCAAAACAGCTCTCAACAAACAAAAGCTAAGGACGATGGAAAGAGAGCATGTCAAAAAGAAGACGAACAGTATGAAGTTCAAAATGGGTTTGAACACTCGTGCCACCAACTATACCACTTTCAATAAATCGTGACGCCATTTTGTTTTAACACGCATACGGTCCATTGAACCTTAGAAATGCAACGAAGTGCAAAGTGAAAAAGGGGTGTCACAAAGGGATGCGAGTGATTGAACGTACAAATCATGCACTGAACAAGGATACATGTATACTAGCTGTGAATTCTTGGTTATATACATGCATTGTGCTCGTGACTACGAATAAATCCGATCGCATTCGCGACATCCTTTGTCATCAGCCGACGCAGCACTTGTTGTCGGGTAGTACTTCGCACTTTCCAGAAGCGCAAATATTTTCTATCGACACTTTTTTCCCAAGCGCTTCACCTCCTTCACGAGTACGATCGGTTGTGTTTCTTTCCAGCCGAAGCTGGCGAGCTCAGTCAGCGTCGCTTTGCTGGACCGTTCACGTTGACATCAGGCGAATGAGCTGGGCGAGTGACAACCCTGTCATCGAAGCCTTTCTTTTCCAACTGTTTTGCCCAGTGCCGATTCTGGTTCATTTTGCAGTATGTGGGCGAGCGTCGCTGAGTGGCTTTCTCAGCTTCAAGCTCGCGTGCATTTTTACCGTACACACACCTTGAGCAGGATGCAATCAAACACACTAGCTTTTCGCAACATGACACCTCTGCTCTGTACTCCAGTGCCAGCAGTGGTACTCTAGCAGCACCCACCTTGACTAGTGACTGACTTCGTGTCTTTTTTACCAGTTCACTCGCATTCAACGCGCTCTACTCTAGATGTTTCTTTACTCTTTGCCGACTTGTTTGGAACTGGTACGCCTGAACGAGCAGATTTGTGTGATGGTGAAGTGCACAAGATGCAAAAATTGCTGTCAGACACCTGTCATTGGGCTGAAGGAGATAAGCGAAAATGTTGCCTGGGCGGAGGAAGTATTGCATTAGGTAGGTAACAGCATGCTAGGATTCACTTGACAGGTATTTACTTGCCTTGGGAAGATCAATGAAATGAAATGAAACGTCTGAAGCGTTTGTTCCCGATCAGTACCAGAACCCTTGGCACTGGACCTGCTCACCGCTGCAAAAATTCAGCCACCGGTGGTTTGGACTTGGTGGAAAAGTAGATTCACACGCTTCCAGGCCGCCACCAACTTTCAACGGAGTCGGTAGAAGTCCAAATCTCCATCGACATGGCACTCATCAGCAAGACGTCACTCTGCCAGCTAGGCTCCCAGATTCCTCATCCTTTTCCCCTCACTGGAACATATGTTGGTGGCCAGACGCTGGCTGTATGTTTGCATACGTGTGTGTGTGTGCGTGTGTGTGTGCGTGTCCGTGTGTGTGTGTGTGTGTGTTTGTTTGTTTGTTTGTTTGTTCTTTGCTGCATGGCAATACAGGCGCTTCTAGCCGGTCAGCTGCCGTGGAGTTACTTAGACCAGTGGACACGTCCCAGCATGTCAGCTTTGCAGCACAGCCGTCAGTACATACTGTGTCCGCAGATAACGGTGGGCCGGATATAATGCAGAAAGTCGATGATGGTGTGTCAGACAGCCTTGTTTCCTGTGATGACATGAGCCAGGACGAGTTGGAGTCTGAGTTCGACAACCTGGTGCGCCTCTTGGAAGTTTCCAGGTATAGTGTGTGCTGTGGTGTACTGTGTGTACTTGAGTTGGAACCATTGCTGAGATGATGTGAAACCTGACTGTTACTGCAAGGGTGTTCAGTTCCTGATCACTCTGTTGATCCCGCATACTGTGCTGTGCTGTGCTCGCGCTGTGCTGCCATGTGCCATGCTATGCTGCGGTTATCGACCTACAGAAAAGACACCGGTGCTCTCCAAGCAAAGGTCAGAGAGCAAAACAATCAAATATACACCCTGCAGCGCGACTTGGCCGGTGCTTCGGCTCAGTTAGCTGACCTTCAGGCAAGTCGCACCCAGGAGAGTATGGAGATTGAGAGATGCCTGAAGCAGGAGTTGAATGCTAAGCATGAGCTGATCCAGCGTCGGCTTGGTGAGATAAGGACGATGAAAGAAGAGAGCCAGCGCCATAGTACTGACATGGAAGCCCAGGTGGCTGAAACACAGTATGCACATCAGTTACTTGAGGCAAGTCACGGCGTGGAGAGTGACCAACGTCAAGAGCTCAAACAAGCACGCATGCAATGGAAAAGCGGTGTACGTGCACACCGACAAGAGTTATCTCATCTGAACGAGAAGGTTATTTCATTGAAAGTGCCGCCGGTGCTTGGCACATGCCATTTAACCTTGACTGCACTATGATGTGAAGCAGCAATGTTTGCTGTCCAAACTGCTGCTCAGATCTGCTGCCAGGATGTGTTTGACGGAAGAGTGGCTTACAGTACTTAGTGCCAGAACCAGTTGATGCTGGTAGTGAAATGCATAATGGTTCAATGGTTCTGGTCAGTTACTTTATTCAAGACTCTATTTGGGGGGGGGGGGGTATGTTGGGTAATTTACCATTACATGCGTGTTCTGCCCTTCGTGTGTATATAAACAGGTACATGGATAGGCAATCCAACACAAGGAAATGATACAGGAGCAGGATATAAATACATGTGCTAGACTAGTAATGGGTCAGGAAATGAATGCCACTCGGCTTTGTGCTTGCCAATCTCTTCCTTGGCAGCATCAGAAAACCTTTAGCTTGGCTGAAGTGGGAGCGCGCTGCCAGGCACAGAACCATGATCGAGTCATTCGGGATCAGAGTGCAGCATTGGCAACGCTAAGGCGCGGAGAAACACGGAGTCCTGCAGCGACTACGCCCGGTGAGTCCGTCCAAACAGCTCTCAGATATACTTACAGGGGAGTTGCATAGTGGCGTAGTGTAAAACGTGTGAAAACTCCACCGGCACTACTAACTAACTTATAGAGCCTGTGAATAGTGTAGCGGGAGGAGGTTCTATGGTGACATACATCACGTATTTTTCCGGTTGTAAGTCGACCTTTTACGACTTAAAATAGACGGAGAAAGGGTGGGGGTCGACTTACAACCGGGATTCGACTTATAACCGGGAACTATCAGTATCTTACAAAAATGACCTGCACTGCATGCACGAGTGCACCATGTGTACACATTGTTGCCAGTTTATTGGCATTTTTTTTCAAGGATTGGGACGTTATGCCCTCCAATAAGGAATGTTTACATGATTTGTTGATGTGCTAGTAGCAGGAGGTGGTTAGTAGTGCTTCTTTGGGTGAAAACTTTAAAATGCAGAATTGAGACCTCCGGATACGGGGGTCGACCTATAACCGGGGTCGACTTACAACCGGTAAAATACGGTATGTACAATGTAATAGCATAGCGTTCATTTTCTTCATGTGGCCGTTCTTTACTATCCTCTGATAATATTTGTTGCCACACTCAGGATCCCCTGTATGAAAGATGTTTAATCTACCAACACTAGTGTAGCAGTGTGCACCCATTGTCCTGCATGACTCATTCAATGTGCTATTTAGTACGTCTTCTGTGCACTGCTTTTGAAATATCCAGGTCTATCCTCTTCAGCACGTATGGATGTTGACAGCCAACAGCTCCAGGACACACGGGGTCAGCTTGCATTGCAGAACAAAGCTGCACTGGCCACCACCGCTGAGCTTCTAACCACGGTGAGTTGACAGACAGTGTGTATACAGTCAAATCTGCCGTTAGCGACCTCTGCTGTAGGCGACCATCTACCGTTAGCGACCGATTTTCCGTGCACCAACGGTTTCACATACAAGCTGATCTGTCCAGAGCGACCATCTGCTGTGCGCGACCAGCGACCGCGATTTCATGCACGGTGGCTGCATTCAAATCTGCTGTAAGCGACCGCGACCCAGGTTCAGTAAGGTGCGAAACTGTACTTGCCAGTGCGCTGTCAACTGCAAAGTGTGAAAATGCGCTGTCTTGCAAGTGCGATCGACTGGCGCCTGGCCTGTAGGCTGTACTGAGGCTGTGCTGTAGCTCTCAAGTCCAGGCAGTGTCGATCTACTGCTGTGTCGCATACGCGTACTATACGGGTATGGTCGTCGTTGAATATTTAATAAAATGATATTAAAAATCACATTATTCTCGTCGATTTGAGTACATGGAAGCATATACCTGGTATGCCGGATTTACCATACATCTGCCGTAGGAGACCATCTGCTGTAAGCGACCGCTTTTTCTTGCACCAAGGGGCGGTCGCTTACGACAGATTTGACTGTATCTACATGCCGGTTACACATGGATGTGTGCGTGTAGCGTGCATGTGCATGCATGTGAGTGGTGTGTGAGCCGTGGGCATACACACACACACACACACACACACACACACACACATTTCAGCATGGTCACATAAATATGTGGTGCTTCTTTTTAAATGTAACCGTGACATGTACATGTGGCGACCTTGCTGTTGTGTGTACGTATCATAGTATCATGTATTCATGTACATGTGGTGACCTTGCTGCTGTGTGTACGTATCATAGTATCATGTATTCATGTACATGTGGCGACCTTGCTGCTGTGTGTACGTATCATAGTATCATGTGGCGACCTTGCTGCTGTGTGTACGTATCATAGTATCATGTGGCAACCTTGCTGCTGTGTGTACGTATCATAGTATCATGTGTTCATGTACATGTGGCGACCTTGCTGCTGTGTGTACGTATCATAGTATCATGTAGGCAACCTTGCTGCTGTGTGTACGTATCATAGTATCATGTGGCGACCTTGCTGCTGTGTGTACGTATCATAGTATCATGTGGCGACCTTGCTGCTGTGTGTACGTATCATAGTATCATGTGGCGACCTTGCTGCTGTGTGTACGTATCATAGTATCATGTATTCATGTACATGTGGCGACCTTGCTGCTGTGTGTACGTATCATAGTATCATGTGGCGACCTTGCTGCTGTGTGTACGTATCATAGTATCATGTGGCAACCTTGCTGCTGTGTGTACGTATCATAGTATCATGTGTTCATGTACATGTGGCGACCTTGCTGCTGTGTGTACGTATCATAGTATCATGTAGGCAACCTTGCTGCTGTGTGTACGTATCATAGTATCATGTGGCGACCTTGCTGCTGTGTGTACGTATCATAGTATCATGTGGCGACCTTGCTGCTGTGTGTACGTATCATAGTATCATGTGGCGACCTTGCTGCTGTGTGTACGTATCATAGTATCATGTGGCGACCTTGCTGCTGTGTGTACGTATCATAGTATCATGTGTTCATGTTTTCATGGAGCTTCCCAGAGCTCTGGGGTTGGTTGTTGAAAAAAAGCAAGAGAGAAATACTAAAGCTACCAAAGCAGAGTCTCCTCTTGGCCATTACCGTAGTGCACCGACTTTCCACTTGTAAGCAAGTCCTTTCAAGATCGGGCATAGTGAAAGATCACACATGGGACTATTTTGTTTGTGTTGTTATATCCTGCCTTCCTATTTCTACTGAGTCTGTGGTCTACTGTTGTCATGTCTTGAACCCTGTACGTTGCAGACATCTTCCAACAACAGTGAGTATGAGCTAATTCACAACCAACTAGAGGCAGAGCGCCACGCTCAGCATGAACTCTTGGCCACGCTAGAGGAGAGCGAGAAAGTGGTAAGTTCTGACAGCGAGGGATATATCAGCTGGGTGATGCTCAGCACATGGATGTGGACATCAGGCTGGTCGTGTCATGTTGAAACTAACGTGATATGTAGATATCTGTGGTATCTGTATACATTCAGAAAGTGCTAAATACTTCTAAGGAAGAGCATCAAGTATTACAGTCATGTGTTATATATGTAGGACTCAGTATAGAGTCCATGCACTATATGATGTCCAGCACCCTATATAGAGTCCATTGGTCCAAAATCCACTATACAGAGTCCAGGAGTCCACTCAGTTTTGATCAGCTTCATCCTGCCGCGCAATCCCCTATAAGGAGTACACTTTTTCTACAAGTCCCCTATTCACAGTCCAGGAGTCCAGTTTATCCAGTCACGCCGTCCTGTGTGTTGTGCCCGAAAGAGAACACATTTTCAGTTTTGCTTGCCTCGTGGCAGCGCATTCCTTTCTTCACTTCAGCCATGGCTGCCAATTCTGCTGTGCAGTTGCTGACAGTAATCTGTCTCGAGCTAACCAAGGAGGATAAGGAGACGTTCAAAATCAAATCTGGAAAGCGTCTTGTGGTTCTCTGAAGACGTTTCATCAGTGCGCGGGATGAACGCAGAAATTGCAGAACGAGAAAAGTTCAGCACAGTTCAAATCTGACGAGTCAGGTACACTGACGCTCTCTTTCGTTCGACGCCACAAGGATCCCCTGTTTGGCTGGCCATTGCTGCCAGTAAGACGTTTGAACGGTTTCATAAGAGCGAGGGATGAAAGCAGAAAGCGGAGAAAGAGAAAAGTTCAGCACAGTTGCAATCTGACGAGTCAGATACACTGACACTCTCTTTCGTTCGACGCCACAAGGATACCCCTGTTTGACTGGACAAGAGCTGCCTGTACCACCGTGTCAAAAGGCTGTCCAACTTACTACATGGCAGGACGATGACTGAGGTAAGGAAGCTTTTACTCGTTTCGATTGGTCTGCTGTTCTGTCGTTATGCTTGAATTTTTTTTCCATTTTCAAGGAGCGTATCGCGTTTGTTTGATGTTGCTTGAATGAATGCCCTAAAAGTAATCAACCACTTCGTAATAGTCCTCAAGGACTGCAAGGACTTTGCATCAATCGTATATGATCGTCTAGCTATCATCAATTATTATTTTATTTCATGAGAAATGTATTCAAGTTTATCCCTGTGATAATTATGTGAACTCCACGACACTCTTCCTGTAGTATGATGTCAAATACAATGGGATCCACAAACGCAGTGCCAGTGTACTAGTAGTAGTAGTAGTAGTAGGACTAGGAGGATTGCTTGTATGCCAATGACAAAAAAAGCTTCTCAAGCTAATACTCGTATTCCCTGAAGTAACCGTTTTGATGCCACCAGCATGACATTGTGTCAGTGAAACTGCCTCGTGACAACAAATCATTGCATTTCCATCTTGGGGAAGACTGACTGACAGCAACGCTGTACAGATTGTTCAAATCATCTCATTTCAATTTAGTTGCAGTGAAGTGAAACACTGTGTACACTACATGTATGTTGGTGTGTCTGTGCGTCTTGAGTGTGCACAAACGATCTTATTCCTCGTATTACTAATAGATTATTGTCCCCACCATCACCTCGTCACAGGTCTTTGAGTGGATTGATTTTCATTGAGCATCACATTCGTTGAGAACTCGGTAGTTGTGTGCTCCCATGCATCATTACGGTAATAAGCGTATCCTTGTGCTATCTATTTGTTGCAGGTGTGCTGATCTTCAGAAGCTTGCGGAACTGAGTGCTGCTGAACATTTGCATGGCCATGAGCAATGGTGAAGCTTGCTATTGCACTCTCAGCATGTGCTAGTATTATGCTGACCACTGCACTATGTTACTCTCTTACACTACTACGTGTATGTAAACATGCGTGTACCCGTCCCCGTACGCATTCGTTTCGTATAATTATTTGTTATCCCTCTTGACTTTACATGTAAATGGGTGGACGTTTGCATGGCTGTTGGAGTTGCGTGTGTATTGTGTCTCTACTCTTTTCTTGGTGTTTTCTTGGCGTTGTATAAGTTTGTGTGTGTGTGTGTGTGTGTGTGTGTGTGTGCGCGCGCACAATAATTTGAAAACAAATAATTAATCCTGGGCTCTCCATTATTCTCTTTCGATTCTTGGTTTTTTTCTAGTTATTTTCTTGGCGTTGTGTGGGTGTGTGCATGTGTGTGTGCGTGCACAATAATTTGGCAACACTACATGATTGAGATGTTGTAATTTGCAGCGTCTGCGAAGAGACCACTTGATTTGAGGATGGTGTTTGTTGGGTTTTTCATGTAATGAAGTGGCTGCAGTGGCGCCTCAATACATATTTTTTATCTTGAGAAGTGAATGATGTAAAGGATTAAAGGGAGAGGCCGTTTTCTGGTTAATATTCACTGCTTACAGCAGATCCTATGTCTATTTTCGAACTCGATAGGGGATGCCTAATTGGCTGGACTTTATACAGGGGGTGTTGTCCACATAAAGACTCTTTATAGTTGATTTCAAAGTTTGGACTCCGTACAGTTGATTTTGGACCAATGGACTCTATATAGGGGTGAAGCCAGTTGGCTGGACTCTATACAGGGAGTGATGTCCATCGAAACTTTGAGCTCACAGTTGATTCCAAGTTTGGACTCTGTACAGTGGATTTTGGACCAATGGACTCTATATAGGGGTTGGACATCATATAGGGGCTGGACGCTCTACTGAGTCCAACATATAGGGTGTATCTGTTATATAGGGTGTATCTGTTATATAGGGTGTATGTTATATAGGATGTATCTGTTATATAGGGTGTATCTGTTATATAGGGTGTATGTTATATAGGGTGTATCTGTTATATAGGGTGTATCTGTTATATAGGGTTTATCTGTTATATAGGGTGTATCTGTTATATAGGGTGTATCTGTTATATAGGGTGTATCTGTTATATAGGGTGTATCTGTTATATAGGGTGTATCTGTAGCCAGGGCAGGCTGTCGTAATAAAACGACTCATCCGTGTTCCATTCCCGTGCATGGTACATGCATGGTGCGACGGCACAATGACAGCTGTCGCAAATCACACTGAGTATTACGCGTGTTTTTTTGGTAATTCCTGGTTAGCTGCTAGCTTTTCCCTACTCGAAGATGTTGCCGCCGCGAAATCTGGGGGTTTGTGCTCGTCCTGGCGAAAACCGTGTTTTGATCCGTTGAGGGAGACGAGAGATACAGTGCGAAGACGTACGATCTGGCCGAGAATCGGCGAAGAAGAAAGCTTCGCAGACGACCCGTAGTGGTTGGGAACAGAATGGAACAAATACCAGTCGATGCCTGTCATGAAAGGGATGACTGCTACGAAGTTTTAGCCCCTTGCTCCCCAGCGCTTTTTAGCGCCCGACGATAATAACCAAATTTCATCGATTTTCCATATGGATCAAAGCATAGTCTCCTCAATCTTCTCCAGTCGAGCTGAGTCTGGACGCTACAATGTCGAGACGCGAAAAGAGAACATGCATGAACACACAGGAGCATCACATGCAGCTGCATTCTGCCTTGACGAAGCTGAGAACAACACCAGCACCACGCATTTGGAAGACATTTCGAAGAAGACGAAGAACTACATGTAGGAGTTGCATTTTGATATAAAGTATATTTTTCGCAGTAAACGAGTATTTATTTGTAGAGCTTGTGTTGTTACAGATTCCTAGGTTCAAACCCCAAGATGGGCAGTTAGTTACATTTTTTCTCTCCTTTCGTATTTTGTATCTGCATGTTATTACCCTTTCCGTGAGTCGCTCGTGAGTAATGTATGAGTCGTGTATGGCTAAACCCGTATTTACCCGTATGACTGCGGCTAGTGTTATTGTTCTAGAACATTAGCATAATTAACCAATCACAGTTCACAGCTCTGGAATATTCTAGAATTTCGTCGGCAACCGGTTTATATAAATTACTGATTGGTTGATGACCTAAAAACATGGCACCGTTCGCCGTGTGTTTTGTCTTCTTGCATTGTTCTTTTCTTGTGCTCTTTTCACTTCTTATCTTTACTTGCCGAGTGTGCAACTAATAATTCTGTCCTAACGAGTATTCGTGAAACCACAAAGTGAGTGCTTTGTTTGAGTGTGTGAAATTGTCTCCGAGGGCCAGCTACTACATTGGTGGCAGCGGTGGGATTCGAATCCACGCCTCCGGAGAGACTGGAGCGTTCAAAAAAGCCTCTGTACTGTGCAGTATGCATGCGTGCATGCGCAAAGCACGGGGTCCGCGGATCAACTTCGTTCAATAATCATTGTGCCACACGGGTTGTATGATTTGTGTGCGATCATGGTCTTTCTTCTTGACAAACAAAAGTGAAGTTTTTCGATCTTCAAATCGCCATAGCGTCCTTGTCATGACTCCAAATCAGCTGAAACTTTGCAGGAGGAATGAAAATGCCATGCTGAATCGATTGGTACCATTCTCGAACGGTTTCCTTGAAAAATAAAATTTAGCCTGCACTGGCTAGTATCTGTTATATAGGGTGTATCTGTTACAGTCAACTTCGCTTATAACGACACTCGGCGGGGCATCAGAAAAGTGTCCTTATTCGCAAAGTGTCGTTATACCCAAAGTCTCATTATATGTGTCACAGTTGGATGGGACTTTGCTCTGGGAATGAAAATTATGTCGTTATTCGCGAATTGTCGTTATATCCGCAGTAGTTATAAGCGAAGTTGACTGTATATAGGGTGTCTCTGTTATATAGGGTGTATCTGTTATATAGGGTGTATCTGTTATATAGGGTGTATCTGTTATATAGGGTGTATCTGTTATATAGGGTGTATCTGTTATATAGGGTGTATCTGTTATATAGGGTGTATCTGAAGAGATCACACATGGGACTATTTTGTTTGTGTTGTTATATCCTGCCTTCCTATTTCTACTGAGTCTGTGGTCTACTGTTGTCATGCCTTGAACCCTGTACGTTGCAGACATCTTCCAACAACAGTGAGTATGAGCTAATTCGCAACCAACTAGAAGCAGAGCGCCACGCTCAGCATGAACTCTTGGCCACGCTAGAGGAGAGCAAGAAAGTGGTAAGTTCTGACAGCGAGGGATATATCAGCTAGGTGATGCTCAGCACATGGATGTGGAC